ATTAGTAATATTTAATATATTTTATTAAGTATTTTATTACAATTTATAACATTGATGTTCAGAGCACTGAACATGCTATTGAAGATAGATCACAAAAGCCTTAATTTTTAAAGTTCTAACATCCTGTAACTTTAACACTATGCAATCATCTCGGACCTATGTTTATAGGAAGTTTTTTTTTCATATTTTTATGGGGAATCAATGGGTAAATTTAACACTTTTGCCAGTTAATGAGTTAATTTGAGTGAAAAAGGCCTAGGAGTCCGGTTCTGGATGAGGCATCGCCAGGTTAGTACAAACGTGCACCATTATAGATACAGGGGTTGATAAAAAAGTAATTACAAGTTTCGTCAGATATCAGTTAAATTTTCTGCATTTTTTTCAACAAATTTGGTTTGATAATAATCGTTTTTGTGACTTTTAGGTTTATTTTTTTTTCTTTGGGTCGTTTTCTAAACACAAGAGGGCTAACTTAATTACCAATCATTAAAAAAGGTCAGAATTATTCTTAAATAAGAAAATAAATAAATATAAAAACAAAGAAATAATTCCGACGGTCATTTTCGAAATTCATTTGTCACTATCAGTGGCGCATCTAGGGATTGAGTCTGGGAAGAGTAGTGGCAGTATTTAAGTAAAATACTATATTAAAAATAAATTTACTCTAAAAGAGATTATTATTATTACTGGGGAAAAATAAACTTTGATTTGTCTGGATTGTCTATTTGATTGATATTATTAATTTCTTTCGTGGCTGCCATCTCTCTATATAGGGTGTGTACAAAAAACAGCTCTCGTGGGAAGATTCGTCATGTAAAAATAAGATTTATTTTTCTTAACCCCAGACTTTGTTTTGCTACAGGGGGTTGAAATCTTCATTTATTTTTTCGATTTATTATAACTTACAATTTTCTTCCAAATGCTTTTAGCGATTCGAATGAAATTTTGAGGGTAAAAGTTACTACAAGCGTTACGTGTTTTAGTACTGTCAACAGATTTATCAGGGACGTGCATATGGGTTATTACTGAAATATTTTTCTAAAAAAAACATGGACGCATTTTCTCTTGTTAGCAAAATTGTCCGCCGTTGAACACGAGTCCACATCTGCTAGACCAGAAAACTTACTATATAACTTCAGGAGGCACAGGTGTAGGCATCTTCTCAGAGGAACTAGATATCCGATTATCTTTAAGGCTATCGGATGGCTGTAATGTTCTTTAAACAGAGGTTTACGCTATAAAAGAAGCGGCCAGTTGTATACGCGAGAAAATCGTTGATAGACCAATCGGAGATATCGCGATATACTCTGACTGCTTGGGCACTTTAGGAAGCATCACGATGCAATCAGTGAGATCGAAAACTGTGAGGGACTGCCAAGAAGCACTATCCTGGCTGCGTCAAGGCGGGGCCACTCTGTGCTGGGTGCTAGGCCACAGGAATGCGGTGGGCAACCAAGAAGCAGACAGATTCACCAAAGAGGGGGCCAAGGGAAAAGCCCCGCGGCAGTTGACTCACCATCTGTGACGATCAACACACCGAAGGAAGCTATAGAAACTACCATCAAGGCCAAGCAGCAAGAGACGTGACAACAACGTAAGGACGGCGCTACAGCTCGAAGACTGTGGCCAGTGGTAGATAGAAAAAGACAAAACAACTACTAGAGCACCAAAAGAACCTAGTACGCATAATTGTAGGTGTCATAATTGGAAACTACCCCACGGGGGTAAACCTCGTGAAATTTCCAACGACTACTGTAGAGAATGCGGAGAGAAAGAAGAAACCATAGAGCACCTGCTGTGCCACTCTCCGGCACTGGAATACCGACGCTTTAAAACTTTAGGGCAAGGATTTTTGGAGCGACTAGAGGAAGCAGCAGAAGCCAACATCAGCGATATTGGGAACTTTGTAAATAGCTGGAAATGCTTTAAAATGGGCCCAAGGCAAGGGATTAAACGAGGGCCAAGTGAGGGATCAAACAGGATTCCAAACCCCAGCAACCTAACCTAACCTAGCAAAATTGTATAGGCCGTTTAATGTCGATTAAAAGTTGTATCTTGATATTTTGTCTATTTCCATCTCCTTGATGAGATAAACGCAATTTCATTAATCACAATTAATAAAATAAAAATAAAATTAGTAATATTTAATATATTTTATTAAGTATTTTATTACAATTTATAACATTGATGTTCAGAGCACTGAACATGCTATTGAAGATAGATCACAAAAGCCTTAATTTTTAAAGTTCTAACATCCTGTAACTTTAACACTATGCAATCATCTCGGACCTATGTTTATAGGAAGTTTTTTTTCATATTTTTATGGGGAATCAATGGGTAAATTTAACACTTTTGCCAGTTAATGACATTAAAAAAATTAAAGGTTGTTACTATTTTTGGATTAAGGCAAATTAATCAAATCGTGTTTATCTCATCAAGGAAGCTAAACCGGACAAAATATTAAAAGACAATTTTTAATATTATAGACATTAAACCACCTATGGCAATTTTGCTAACAGGAGAAAAGAAAGTCAGTGGCGCACATGTTATTTTTAGAAAAATATTTCAGTGATAACAGTATGCCCGGTGAATCTGTCAACACTTTTCTAGACTAAAATATGTAACAATTATAATAACTTTTACCTTCAAAATCTCATTCGAATCACTAAAAGTACTTAAAAAGAAGAAAATTATAATAAATCGAAAAAAAGACTTTAACTCCCTGTAGCTACGAAACAAAGGAGCTACAAACTACATGAGGAATGTCCACACGAGAGATGGCACATGTTTTTTGAAACACCCTGTAAAGGACCTGGCTAAAAATTCTATCTGTAGTATACGTCGCTAAAATTCCCGAAAAGTTCTCTAAGAACAAGTGCGATTTTCGACTAGATACCCAAGAAACAAATGAGACCGTATATAAATCTGTCGCCGTGTGAAGTGCCGTAGTACGAAACAGGCGACAGGTAAGCAGTTAAAAGTTTAAATGGCGTCTGCCGGCGTCGGCCGGCCCTTCGCGGCCCGTTGCCTCTTTCTTTACGACCCTCCAACTCTTAAATTAGTCGGGGGATTAATAAGGGCCCCCCGACGACGCCCCTGGGACTCGTACAAATACGGAAACTTTATGACGCAGTGGCGTCGGATCGAAAAAGGATAATCTGGTTCGATTCGAAATGAAACCCGGTATTAGTTTTTTTAATCTTTAGGATATTTTATTACACAGGGTAGCTTGAACTCTATTACGGAAACTTCGGCAGCATATTCTGCAGATAAAAATAAATAAAAATGTTTGTATAAATGTTATGTCTTAATTTTTTTTTAAACTAATTTTTTTGAAACTACTGAGTGAAAAAATATACATTTCCGTGATTTTTTACGTAAAAAATGTTTCTTGGTAAAAGTCGCTACGAGCAACCGTTTCTCAAGATATTTAGATTGGAAATAGTCAATACCTACATGTCATTATTGACGACAAAAAAATAAACATATTGAGTAGATAGTTATTTGACTGAAATTATAAATTTGGGAACATTTTATTTTTTCTTAAATTAATCATAAATTTTTCTTTGAAAAAATGATAATAAAACAGTTTCTGTTGAATTTTTGGCACAAAAAAATTGCAAATTTTTGATTTCAATCTAATAACTATTTAGCCAACATGTTTAATTTATGTAAATGATGACAGGTATTGATAATTTCGATTCCAAATATCTCGAGAACCATTACTCGTAACGATTTTTTCCAAGAGAGATTTTTTACGTAAAAAACGTCGTAAATGTATATTTTTTTACTTATTAGTTTTATACAGGTACAGACGAACAGTTATTACTCTTAAAAACAGTTAAAACACATGTTGGTGGCGCTCCCTATGAATAGGAGAATTGACAATTTCCATTCTAAATAGCTTGAGAACTGTTGCATGTAACGATTCTTACCAAGCGACATTTTTTTACGTAAAAAGTCACGAAAATGTATATTTTTTACTCAGCAGTTATATACAGGCCCGGACGAAAAGTTATTACCCTTCGAAACAGCACCTCTATGTGAGGCCCCCTACAAATAGGAGTTATATTGACATCAAAATTAAATTTCTCATGTCAAAAAACTCCCAGACACTAATTTTCATACAAATAATATTGACGTTACTTCAGAAATTATTTGGAAAAAATCGAAATAAAAATGAAATTTCTACACTCTGTATCTCCGAAACTAAGCATTTTAGGACATAATATATTTATACGAACTTTTTTTTTCTGCAGAATATGCTGCCGAAGTTTTAGGAATACAGTTCGGACCATCCTGTATAATACCGTATTATCGAAAATAAAACGGCGTCAAAGACGACTAGGGAATGACAATCGATGATCATTTTGGCGAGGTCAATTTCTAGACATCTTTTACTAAAAGCCTAACTTTTGAAAAATGAACACTATAACTATATTTCAATTCTAAGCAAAAATCGAAATACATACAATGTACCTCAAAGCAACCGTTTCCGAGTTATTGACTTTTGAAAATATCACTTAAACAATTCGATTTAATTAATTTCGATGTGTTTCGTTTGATTTAATGATGACATTCTGCCGAAACTGTGATACTGTTTTAATGGGTTTTCTAAATTCCTATTAGCTACTAGTAAATTTAAGTATACAGGGTCGGCCATAAAGTTGTGTCACATCAAACTTATTTTTTTTTTAAATGAAACCCCCTGTATGTTATTGCATATTTCAATTATTCCCTCAATGTTAAACAATAATCGTAATACACAATGTACATAAATTGAAGCATTGAAATGTTAAACGAAAATTTTGTAAGTTCCTGACTTGCTATACTCTCATTTTATATTATTTTTATGACATAACTTGAGAATCAATGTCAAATATTATTAAGTATCGCAGTTTCGGCAAAACGTCATCGTTAAATGAAACGAAACTCATCGAAATTAATTAAATCGAATTGTTTAAGTGATATTTTCAAAGGTCAATAACTCGGAAACGGTTGCTTTGAGGTACATTGTGTGTATTTCGATTTTTCCTTAGAATTGAAGGATGAACCGAAATATGCAATATACAGGCGGTTCCATTTAAAAAAATGAAACTTTGATGTGCCACGACTTTATGACCGTCTCTATATAGTTAAATTTATTACCCGCTAATAGATATTTATAAACCCTATAACTTTTATATTTAACTTTTTGCGGTATCTCATATATTTTACCTAATAATCGACCGTTTCCATACATAAAAGCGACCCTGTATATAGGTAGCGATCTATAAAATATATTCCTGTTTATTTAATTGTCTTTTGTAGTAAATTGATCATACTCCAATATTGTGGCCGCATTGTTGAAATTCTTTTCATAGATACAAATCCAGTAGACATATTTTATATATTCCTGTTTGTGTTACGCCTATGGTTGTTCTAATAAAATTATTGCCATTTTAAGTTTGGGAAGGTTTAGAGAGAGACATCTTGAAACTTTCTTCCCAAGCGAACTTTAGCTCTATTTTGAAGATTTACTGATATAGTTATTAGGCTAGTTTATTTCCCACTTTGCCAAACTACAAATGTAATTTTAAGGTGCATGAATATCTGTTTTTTTTGCCTCCGCTCTATTATGTTAAAAAAATATAAACAAAGTGGTTCTATACACTGGATGATTCACGGTCATGGTATGTTACGAATGACGTTTATGGAGAACCGGTTATTTATTTATTTTTTAAATTTGGTATTTTGGATAAAGGGATCTGCTCCATCTGTCTAAATTATTTTCAGCATTACAATGTTGCCGCTTTGTACTAAAATCGTTAGCATATTTGATTTTTTTTATAATATGTGTACTATGGGTACGTAAGGTTGAATTTAAAATAACCGAGAAAATAACAAAAATTTGAGCAATTTTATAACAAACGGAAATAAATAATTTTTTGCTTTCCCTGTGTAATCAGTTGATTTAGACAGATCGAATATATCGACTTTCATTATTGTATATAACCCAAATTTTAACTTTTTACATGTTCAATTCATGATTTTATCAATGCTTCATATTTTTTTATCAATTCATGTTTTTGTCAATTTTACACATTTTGAGAGTGAGTGGGTGCCGGAGATAGCGTTGCCAGAACTACTGATCAATCCGTAAATTTACGGATTCAGTACGTTAATAATACGGATTTTCATTAAACAATTTAATATAATATTATATGATTAAACAAAGAACGGAGTCACAGTTGACTTGGAAATGAAGGTCGCTGTTGTTTCATATGTAAAATATTATGGTAAATGTCAATAACCGTCATTTCCAAGTCAACTAAATGACTTTTTTCTATCATACGCCATATTCAGTACCTATAAAAGAATTTTTATTTTTATTGTTTATTCTATGCTTAATACGAATCAATTTTCAATACATAAACGCGAATTTTTCATCCAAATATATTTTCTTCAAACATCTTACAGTTATTACACATTTTAATACGGCAACACTGTCGCTTTCAGATCCACTCCGTCTTCGATATGCCTTCGCCGGCCGAATTAAAATAAGAATCTTTAACAATAAGTGTTTTACGCGTTGACCGCACAACGATTGGTTTCTCCACCGTATAGCACTTCAGACGTAACTGGAAATCAAATCAGCCTTGTCACGAATTCGCCCATTAGGTTGCGTATCTTCCCCTTTCGAATGGAAGTCCCACGTTATATTGTTTCATTTTTCCCCTAGATCGAGTGCTTGGTCCTTGGCTGGCTGCACAAATTTTACATTGTCGACACCATTTCTTGACATCTTCGCAATAATCCACCCAGTAAAATCGATCTCTCAGCTTGCTCAAGGTCTTATTTACTCCAAGATGAGCTCCAGTTTTACCACCGTGAGTTTCTTCCAATACCTGGGTAACTTTCTTCCTTGGTACCAGTAACTGAGTTGTCCTGCCATCCGCACTTTCCCACGTGCGCTTTAACAATCCATTCTCAATCACCAGTGAATTCCACTGAGCCCAGAGAGCTTTGAAAACCAGCCCTCTGTCCGCAATATCCTCAATTCTATAATTCAATAACAATACATTTAAATCGTTTATAGAGAATTTACCCAGTGGCGGACCCATTGGGGGCTTGGGGGCCATCCCCTAAGATCTGTCATAATACGATATTATTAATTTATTGTCCGAAACGACTCAACATGTACTTAAATAAAGTTATGTAGCCCCCTTTCCTGAATCCTGGATCCGCCCCTGTCTGTTCCGAAATCCAACTGTAGATAAACAAATTGTTTGTTTACCTTTTGCTTGTATAAAATCAAATCGATATATTTGTTTAGTCTATATTTTATACATGTCAATGATATACCGGTATCTTGATTTATATTTAAAAAAAAAAAAAAAAAAAAATATTATATGTAATGTGTACAAGAAATCATTTTTAATACTGACTTTTTCTTTACAGTACCACTGAAGAAATGCACCCCTGGCAAAGGTACACCATCTCGTACACCTGACAGGTTAGTAATTTGCAGATTATACATTTTCCATTTTTTTTTAATAAACAATTAACATTGCTTATGCTATACATTTTTTATATCATTATTATTATTTTACTATAATATTGCTGCACATTAAATGAAAAGTTTTTACTTGTATTTCTGCTATGCACCTTATAAGCACAGAATATCTAGCTATACAACAGAAAAATACTCGAAATGAAAGAGCAAAAATTGCACAAATAAAATAGTAGATGGCGCGACAATATCATAATCAGAATATAATTGGAAATTTTCATTTTTTCGGTTTTTAGATAGACGGCACGTCGACGGCCTTGAAGCTCGGCTAAATATGCACAGCTGCCAGATTCAAAAAGATTTTAATTGGCATCCCATTCTTTTTCTGGTGTATAATAATTTCTTTTTTAAAATATTTTAATACCTTAAGTATTTGATAATAATATAATTATTCGTTTGGCTTTAAAATAGTTTCTTAAGTCTAAGTATATTATTAGGAAACATATGCTCACAAAATACATTTTATTATATGTAATAAAGTATGTAACCACTACTTTATTATGTTAACTAAGAAAATAACTTTAATTACCTTTAAAATTAATAATATACAGGGCGATTGATAGTGATATTTATTAATGCTGAAACGTTAGTAATGAAATATACGTTTAATAATGGAAATAATTTATTAAAATGCATTTTTTATAATGTTAATTGACTAAAAAAATACTATAATAACAAATTTCTTCTGTTTGCCACGTTATTTATATAGACCTAGGTAGATTTTAAAAAGTGACATAGGTACAATTAATAATAATTATGGTACCACTCGATATGCTTCATAATATTGCAATAATATGCAAAGATCCGTAGTATACCAAATTTAAGCACAATCGAACGCCAGGAAATGGTATTTAACAAGGGTACTTATAGGTAGGTACCAGTTTATATGCATCATAGTACCATCATATTACAATGTCAATGAAGATACGTAGTATACCAAGTTTAAGCCCAATCGAACGCCAGGAAATGGTATCGTAATATGGTACTACATTATGGTACCTCTCGATATACTTTAAGGTACCATAATATTGCAATGTCGTCAAAAATACGCATGCGCATAATCAAATATGAGCCCAATCGAACGTCAGGAAGTGGTATCATAATATGGTACCAGTAGAAGCGCACCACTTTATATGCATTATAGTACCATCATATTGCAATGTTACCAAACATACGTAGCATACAAAGTTTAAGCCCAATCGAACGCCAGGAAATGGTATCGTAATATGGTACTACATTATGGCACCTCTTGATATGCTTTATGGTACCATAATATTGCATTGTCATCAAAAATACGCAAGTATAATCAAATATGAGCCCAATCGAACGTCAGGAAGTGGTATCATAATATGGTACTATAGAAGGTACCACTTTATATGCATTATAGTACCATCATATTACAGTGTCACCGAACATACGTAGCATACAAAGTTTAAGCCCAATCGAACGCCAGGAAATGGTATCGTACTACATTATGGTACCCCTTGATATGCTTCATGGTAACATAATGTTGCAATATCATAAAAATATGCAAGTATAATCAAATATGAGCCCAATCGAACGTCAGGAAGTGGTATCATAATATAGTACTATAGAAGGTCCCACTTTATATGCATTAAAGTACCATCATATTAAATGTCACCGAACACACGTAGTATACAAAGTTTGAGACCAATCGAACGCCAGGAAATGGTATCGTAATAATACTATAATTAAAAAAAAAAACCTTTTTTTTTTCTTTTTTTTTGATGTACTTCATGGTACATAATATTGTGTCATCAAAAATACGCAAGTATAATCAAATATGAGCCCAATCGAACGTCAGGAAGTGGTATCGTAATATGGTACTATATTAAGGTACTACTTTATATGCATCATAGTACCATCATATTACAATATCACCGAAGATACTCACTATACCAAGTATAAGTCCAATCGAACGCCAGGAAATTCAATTACAATCAAACGTCACAAAGTGATTGTAATTCAGCTCGTAAGATTTAACTCCAACTAACAATACAAGTTAAAACCTAAACGTTTGAAAAAAGAGCTCTGATCTATTTTAATATGTTTAAATGATGTAGCAAATTTGAAGGTAGGCTTTATAAGGAAGTATTACAATATGAATTACATAATGGCAACACTGCATAAAATTCTTTAAATTCTGCTTGTAGACTGTTTTCTTTTAAATGTATCGCCCTCTATTATGTAGTAGCGAAACTACTGCATCAAAATATCTGATTGGAGACAGGCTTTAAAAGCCTGTCTCCTTTTGATACCTACGATTTTATACGTGTAACGAGGCTTCTGTTGCGTAGCAATTTTTAGAAAACTCTTATTCCTGTAAATAGTGGCAACATTGTATGATGAAAAAGCATGATGGTTATATATTTTAAAACTTTTCCAGGGTTACTTATTTCTCTTAGATATTAGATATACAGGGTGTCCTAATATTCCGTGGACATAGAGCTACTACGTATTTTTGGATGGTTGGTACTTTTTCTGGATTTTTATGAAAGTAAAATTTTCAAGCATATAGCAAAACATGGACACCCAAAATCTCATTGGGATCGGAACAACGGTTCTTAAAATATCTTAAAAAATGTATTAACCCTCTAACGGGCAAACGAAGCACTTGTATAGAGGTAAATTGCTCGGTAAATTGTGTCCAATGAACTTATTTTGATTCCAAAAATACATAGTAGTTCTCTGTCCACGGAATATTGGGACACCCTGTATACGGGTGATTCTGTTATAACTACTGTTACTTTTTATTTTTGTTCAATTCTGTTACCAAACATTTTATTAAGCGAGAGAAAATAATGCAGCACATTAAAAACACTTATCTTTTTTTACATCGTTAGTCACTTGAAGCTACGACTGATTGCTCTGTTTAAACTACATCCCCGTTCTCATTTCCACTTGTCTCCCCCGTTTGACCGCACCCTCCGACGTAGGGGGCGCTGAATTAGTGTAAAGCGGCGGTCATCAATGACCGTTGCTAATTGGGCTCGTAAAATCACGAACACTACGATCGGGTATGGTCGTAAAGTCCAGACCGAGTGGCCAAATTTGTACCCAATTTAGGTGTTTAGAATTCGAAAAAAAAAACGTTAGCTTTATAGTATCATAATTATTGCATTACATAAGGTATATTAAGTACAGTTTGTCCATCGAAGGAATGTATGACTTTAATGACAATTTAACAGTCAGGTTGATGTGTCTTTTTTTAAACATAATAAATATTATGGGGTGTCCACCAGGGCCGGCGGAAGGGAAATATTGAGACCGGGCGAATACCCTACCAGCCCCCCCCCCCAATAGTTGACATGTTACCATAACAACTCAGCATATTTATGCTACTTTAACAATAACATTTCACTTAGCTGGGTACTTTTAAAATTCTCTTTGTTCAATCTTAGTTCGCGGTTGTTTTTTCTATACCGGTTGCATTTGAGTTTATTTATTTTTTTTAGATAAAAACGAAATTTGGTATGTTAGTATAGCGATATAAATTAGATTGATTGACGTATTCAATTGTTATTTTGTCACTTCCTGTTTCAACGAAAACTATTGATTTTAAATATATAGTTATATTTCTGGTTTATTCGATAGAAAATGACACTTGAGTAGAATGACATATCATATGTCAACTTTGATATTTTCAAAAATAAAAAAAAATCGTATTTAAATTTCAATCTAGAGTGTGTGAATTAATTTTAAACAAGGAGTAGGATGGAAAAATAGATTTGATCGTCTAATAATTTTAGGGTCTGGTCGGTTAAAAATGCCCAAATCGTATTTTTTAACTCTATATGCCAATTTTTTTCAAATGGAACAAGTGATTTGCATATTTAGAAAAGAATTTTTACGATTAATTTTGTACCACACTGAGCATATTTCGAGTCAAATTGTCGTTATGAACCCGATGAACCGCATGTTACAACTTCAAATAATCCATATGCGAAATGTCAAAAGTTGACATATGATATGTCATTCTATTCAGATTGTCATTTTCTATCGCATAAAGTAGAAATATACCGAGTTATTTAAAATCAAAAAGTTTTATTAATTTTCGGTGAAAGAGGAAGTTATCAAAACAATTGAATGCGTTACTAATTCTAATTTATATCGTATGCCAACATACCAAATCTCGTTTTTTTCATCTGAAAATAAACAAGTTATTGAGTGAGCCAGTTTTGAGACGCACCTGGTATAAAATGATAAGTATAAGTGATCTTTGAAAACATTACTAGTTAGTTGCAAGTACTGCATTATTTACAAGAATTTAAACAAAAAAAAAATTTCTTCTTTTTCACTATCAATTATTTCGTGCAAAATCAGTATATGATCAGATACAGTTTTGTCGGCTTCAAAATGAGGATCAGCCAGTGTTTGAGATTTGAGATGCATTCATTTGTCTTGTTTTAATGAGAAATTTCTCACGATTTACAACCGAGAAAAACAAAAAAAAATCATCAAAATCACCAAAAGATTGATATTTTTCCCACTACTGTTAATAAATTAATGAGGCAAACTTACAAGCTTTTTTTTGATAATAAGGATATCGGGATCCTATTTAGCTTCTTGCGAATGAATATTTGTTTTATATAATTTTAGGGCAGATCAGCCATTAACAAATAAAGGGTGTGGGTAGTAGACAAAGTGCAAAGTGCAATTTTGAGCAACAAGCAGTCTAAAACTGTCAATTTTGCTGGCTCTTGACCCAAAACAGTTTATTTACAGAAAATTTATAAAAACAAGAATTATAGAAAAGGAAGGGTTATTTACAAAAAGTTGATAGCTTTTTCATTTATAAGTAAAATACCACGAACAATTTTTTTTAAATATTTTAGTTGCTGGCGTGGCGCCCCTCACATTCGGTCGCCCAGGTCGCCCGTCCCTTCCGCCGGCCCTGGTGTCCACAGGTACAAGCTTCCCTTAAGGTTTACTTGCGCAAACTAGTTTGTGAAGGTTTTACTTGTCCGTGTGGATGAGATTTATACCTATCCAACATCAGGATATATGAAGCCCCGTCCACAAATAATGTTTTACCTGTCAGTCAAAAATGGGCATCACAAACTTTTCATGTATTTTAAAGTTTTATATATTTTGTTCTAGTGGACCGATTTTGATGACTTTTAAGGAATTTGTAGCTAGACTTTTTAGTATCTATTTCTAAATTTAAAATGAAAGTTGCCATCTGTCAATTATACGAGTGAAAACAAAATGTAGATATTTCGGTGTAAGTCCCTCTGGAGTACGTTAACAAAGCCAGGAATTTAAAAATAATTTTATCATCTAGTTGTATCTTTTCTCGGTAGTTTGTTTTTATGACTCATCTCAATAGTTTTTTTTTGAGATATTCGCTTTTGAAAAAGACACTAAGATTTTTTCGTACTTTTTACATTAAAACTATGCCTTATTTGCTTTTGGTCCTAGTCAACAGACCTCTAAAATAGTATTTATGATTTATGTAATGTTACCGTCTGTGAAAAATCATATTATTATTATTGTCTGTTGGGCAGTTACTGGGTTTTAAGTTCAAAAGTTGATCTCTACCATGATCAATTAAAGCAGCAATAGCCCATACTCCAGAACTTAAAACCATCTCTACTATATAAATATATCGATGGTCTAGTACGCAAATGTTGTAAGTGTATTTTCCAGCAAACAAATAATTTAGGCTAAGCTTTTCATATGCACATCAATGGTAAGTAAAATATTCAATTTGTTGGTGCCAGAGCCGTCTTCCATTTGTGTTAAGCATAATCAAGAACGTGAATTTTGGCGAACTTATAAACCTTAAAATTCATATAATTCAAAACATACATTTTTGTACTTACAACATTTGTGAACTAGACCATCAATATTAGAGTATTTTTAATAACAGATTTTTTAACAAATAAAAGTTTGGAATACTAAATGTTTAGCGCCTGAAGACGCGATAATAGATTCGCGAAACGTCGCACAAAATATATATAATTGTTTCCTTGAACCTTAACAATACCCACGCATTTTCTATATATTAATTATACAATAATCATAATTATTTTCTATTAAATATTTGTTCTTTTACTTGGTATAGGAGGAAACTTAATTCAAACAGTGAAACACCAGGGTCGGCCAGGTGGATGTTGGGCAGCATAGAGAGGTCTCTTCACAAAGTCAGACATGCGCTGACTCCGAAAAAAACACTCGACCATCTATCGAGCGTACCGACGGTACTCAATAATAAAGTAAGTACTTACAGTGTCAATTTTTAAAGTTAAACATTATTTTTAATTTGTTTATTCTTTTTCTTTGATTTGAACTGTTTTCTGGCTTCGGTAAATAATTTAAAATTATGCACGTTTAAGAACTCCGTGATGAGAATGCTGGATCCCTTCAGTTGTCGTTTCTTGAAAAATATGTCGTCCCATAGTCACTGTTGATAATATAAAACTAATACAGGGCTCTCGTTTTTTTTGCGTCGATAATTTTTGTGCCGTTCCTATGGCAATAATTTATGCCTTTTATCCACTTTGTTGATTTTAACCTTTCATTTCATTATTACAGTTGTGGGTTGGAACCTTTGGTGTTTTGCAAAATAATATATTAACTCACCACAATACACCAAAACACTTTACTTTTGCACTGGACACAAAACTCGCTTTAATCCTCTGCATATGATGCTAACATGGTTAGCGAAACGCGCTTTTTATGCAACTTGGATGCTTTTAAAGGGAAACACCCTTTTCTATAAGAGATAGACGAAAACTAATATCGGTGTCTGGAGGTCAATTTTTATCAAAAACATGATGATGAAAACCGCACATCGATATCTGTTATCGTTTCAGAGTTACGGGTTGTTTTTCAAGAATGTGAATTTTTAACAGATAACTGTAACTTCATTGCTATAGAAAATGTTGTATTTTTATTCAAACATTTCCAAAGCACCTTTTTACGTAGAATTTAATGTTTTAAATATAATTTTTTTAAAATTAATAATTTAAGAATCAACAGAAAATTTGATTTTTTTTATATGGAATATCCTGTATATTCTTAATTTATTGAAAAAAAAAATTAAATTACATTTTCAAAAATATAGCATACTTGATATTTTGCTCGATTCCTCTTCGATATAGAGATTTTAAAAATTCGCCCACTTTGAATAAGTAGGCTTTGAACGGCGCCGGCTGTAATGCAAAAAATATCTAGCTGTGAGCAGCAATTAAAACGAAAATAATATTTGCAATGAGAGATGCAGAATTTTATAATAATTTAAACCATATTTAACAACATCAACACATTTAATTATATCTAATAATAATATAAATAAATAGCAAACCAAGACATGAGATTTTGCTACAGGTGTTCGATAGGTCGACCGTCCTCTGTTATGGACAGACAAGAGCGTTTTTGAAGATTTCTCGAGGAATTCATTAACTCAGTAGGGGTGAAAGATACCCTCGCATAACTTCTAAGTACTTCTAATTCTTATCTAGATTATATGGACAATTTAAAAATAAGAACTTTTGTTCTTCCGCAAATATAGAAATTCATAGGCGCTTAGTCCGGCGGCCACGGCGCCGGCGCGGCGTCGTTGACGGCCAACCGCTGGGATCTTGGTTAGCTATTCAATTATTTTCGAAATTGGGTGCAAAAATTTGCTATAACTTTAGCGTTCTGAGGCGGTGCCTCGTCTTGCTGGAAAGATATGTTTTCGAGTTCGATTAGGAGCAGACCATAAGGGGTCCAGAGGCTACTAGTTAAAAGTGGACTTAAAAATTCAGTATTTCGAAGAGGATTACAACAAAATATCAAGTGTGCTATATTTTTAGAAAGGTAATTTTAGGTTCTTTTCAATTAATTAAAAATATACAGGGCGTCCCGGATAATAAATCAATTTTCTGTTGATAACTCTTACATTATTAATTTTAAAAAATTATTCTTAAACCATTAATTATACGTAAAAAGGTGCTTTGGAAGTGTTTTCATAAAAATACAAAATTTTCCATAGCAAAAAAGTTACAGCGATTTGTTAAAAATGCACATTTTTAAAAAACACCCCATAACACCGAAACGGTAACAGATATCGATGTGCGGTTTTCACCATCATGTTTTTGCTAAATATTAGTTTTCGTCTATCTCCTATCGAAATGAGTGTTTCCCTTTAAAAGTGTCCAATTTGACCCACCCTGTACATTAATGATTGCTTCAAAAAATCGTGTTTTATCTCCTGTCGAAATTCTCTTAAAGTATTCAACACCGACGTTTCGAAAGAGGATTTTTTTTGTTTAACTCGATCACACCATTTATAAAATTTTGGAAGGTTTTACCTGGCGGCTTAAACCTACACGCACACTGGTGCGATCACGGCCGCGATCACGATCACGATCAGGGCAGCGATAATATGAGCGATCATTCTAGCACACACCAACGCGTTCACGTTCACCGCCGTACCTATATGTAGTACGCCATCCTGTAGGTATACATAGGTACAAATTATAAATGTGAATTATGTATACCGAAAAAAAACATTCTTAAATAGTTACCTACAATATTTAAACTTAAACAATAAAAATGTATATATATATATAATTGTACTATCCAATCCAATTGCAACTCTTGTCTAAAACTTTTTATTTTTAACTCTATTATTTTTGTAACTTGGATCGGATAAATCATATAGAATTTTGTGTATTTTTACCGTTTTAATTAGCTGCTCTGTTAACTCCGTTTCTAAATTGCAACAAGAAAAAACACACAAAATAATGGAAAATTCCTAACAGTTGGGTCGCGATCACGCGATCGAACTCGACAAGTTGAATCTGATCGCCACCGCAGAATAGAACACCGCCAGGCCGCTTCTTCTCCAAAACTCGATCGCGCCAATGTGAAACGGTTCATATGTATTCTTCAGCGACTTTTGGCCGCGGCCGCGTGGAGATCGTGATCGCGGCCGTGATCACACCAGTGTGCGTACAGCTTAACGGCTAGCTATTTCTTAAAAATTATCAATATCCGATGTAAATTTTGCCGGCAAATGTAGTTTTTGAAACTCTTTAAGCTGCTTTCTAGTGTCTCTCATCCTCTTTATTTCCTGATCTGGTCATCTTGTATAATTAGATCTTCGGGTACAATAAAAAATTAAAATTTTTGACAGGGTAAAAAAATATAAAATCTACTGATCGAATAAACTTCAGCTCGCATATTATCTCTTTCTGTGATGCTGTATTAGATTACATTTTTGACGTAGCTCTCGGTCTGTTCCACTACGATCTTTTTAAATCTATTGTGATCCTCAGATCTCTGGGTTACGTTTTCCAATCCTGTCTGTTTCAAAAAGAAGAAAAAGAGGAACCTGCTTCCATATCCAGCTCTTTATCGATGGCCTATCATTGCCTAATACAATGAATCGCACATTTCCTAGGCGTTTGGTTTGCTTTGGTTAGGTAAAGCCATGTGCACAGATAAAATCTGCACATGGCTTCGTCCCTCAATCTGCTTTAGATGCCCTGTTTTAGATCGACTACAGCTTTGACAGTCTTTTTGTGTTTGCTTCTCAGGTCTGCCGTAAAGAGCCCTTTATAATCATATAGAATTTTTCTGTTAATTTCAGGATCTATTTAACGTTTCAACCACGCACTGCAAAGACCCCGAATTAGTTTTAACCGAACTGTCCAAGGGTCTGGAGAAGAAAGGAATACTCTGCAAACGAAAAGGGTAAGAACGAATTACATCAATTTTTTTTTTCGGTATTTCTTCTGCTTCTTGCTCTAACCTCACGGTTCTATTAAGGAAGTGGAAACGTCGAGGAATACGTAATGTATGAGATTAATTTGCATGATTACACACCAGCCATGTTTGACCTTATCATTTCGACAATCGGGCCTTTTTCTTACCTCTCTTTCTCCCGACGAGACCAATTTGCAAATCGTTAGCTCGCAGCGATTTTACGAAATTGCAAATGATGCTTTCGGCGATCGAGCGTCTTAACGAGCCCAATTAACGACATGACGATTTGTGCTCGAGTCCTATCGGTTTCGTCATGTCATCGGAAAAGGAACAGAACTGTTCTTTACTTAGATAATTTTCCTTTGTGCCAATATACCTTTGAATAAAATTATTAAGGAAGGACAAATCAACAAACTTAATTAAAGGGCGATGGGGGATTAATAATCCCGTTTTAAATTTTATTTAAATCGTGTAAAAATATAATGTAGGTTAAACTCAATAATTTGTTTAAAAAATGTCTATACCTATGTGGCGGATTCATCTCTCCAAAAAATCCTATATGGGTATTTAGCCACTGCAAGAAAATCTACAAAATAAAATAGTTAATATTATAGTTAAATAAAATAGTTAGTTTGTAAACACTTCTTCATTTATTTTTATTAGATTGTATTAAAAATGCCTCTTTTAGTTTTCTTTTAGAGGCTATCGCTTCTTTTATTATAATTTTGGCGTTATTAAACTTTATTCTGTGCCCTGTGTCCCATGAATGCTGACAAATCTTAGATTTGTGAAAATCTCCCGTTCTTAAATAATTTTTATATTCTTTAGTTCGAACATTTAAGGGTCTAGATGTTTCACCAATGTAAAATTTATCGCATTCACATGGTATTTGGTATATTACATTTTTTGTTTGTCGTTCTGTATTCATTGGTTTAGTATGAGATAAAATAATTTGTTTTGTTTTACGTTGTCAGTAAATGTTATTAGCTATTAAATTGTTAAAATAATATATTTTTAATAAAAATAGATAAGGTAAAACGGTTACTTAATAACAAAAATATCATAAACGCTATTGAAACACCCAAGTCAAATTTAATGTATCCTAATATTTTTTGACAAGTTGTAAATAAAATCGAAACAGCAAGAAAAAATATATAATTAGTTAATTCTAGGTGATTCTTTTAATCGATTGGTTTACTACACGTAACGTGTTTTACATAGTTACCAGTGGTTTTTATGTGTCTATTGACCAGGATCAGGATACTATAAGATTGTCTGGTCCCCAATAGGTGCTAGTTTATTTAGTTAGGGACTAGCTTTACACTCCACACTAACAGTTTCAACGTTACTGAAGCCTGGAAAGAAAATTTGGAAAATAGTGGTCACATCCGTCGGCACATGCCATGCATAACAGAAAAACCACCGGGCTTTGAACTACCGCGTAAGGTATCATTCATTTCATTTTGTCCTCTACTCTTAGATGGAGCATAGGGCTTCAATAAACGCTCTCCAGCGGGTTCGATTGTTGGCAATTGATTTGACATCTCGCTATGATTGGTTTACTGTTTCGATCTACTTTTAATTGTCCTTTAGACGACCCGTATGTCTTGGACGACCCGTTGCGATAGTGTTGCTGCTTCGCCTTAAAGTGTGACCAATATACCTCCATTTCCTAAGTTTGACCTCGTTATCCACCTGCCTCTGGTTGGTCAAGCTCCATAAATCTTCATTTCTGATAGGATTTGGTCTGAATATTTCTACAATTTTTGCAGACAGTGGTTTATGAAAACTTGGAGTTTGTTAATTAATGGCGATGTAATTTTCCAGGTCTCTGCACCATACACCAATACGTAGTGATATTCGAATTGAAAATGTTTAGTTTAGTTGAATATTATTTTGAATTGAAAATTTTAAGCTGAGAGTACTGTGTAGATCTCCAAATATTGTTGAGCATTTCAAATGTTATTCTGGCCTTCTTTATTCTATTTATGATATCTTGCTCTGTGCCTCCGTTGGGTCCGTTGGTTGAGATTAGACTACCACTAGTAAGTAAAATTATTTACCTCCTCTATATGTGTTGTTCCAATGATAAAGGGAGGGACGTTGTTGGTACAAGCTCTCATCGATTTAGTTTTTTTTAATATTGATCTTAAGACCTGCAATTTGAGCTTCTTTTGTCAAGTCAAGTAGTTTTGATGCCATATCCGCGTGCCTATGAGAAAGGAGACAGATGTCATCTGCATAACTGAGATCTTCTAACATGCTAAAGGTCCACCATATTCCACGATGATTCCTGGAAATTGTTCTTTTTAGAATATCATCTAAGAGGATATTCTATTGTAGTGTATAAATATTATTACACCCTGTACATAATAGTTTAGATATAAGTAACTATACCGCGTAAGGTATATAGTGCTCATTTAACAGAATCCGCACAAATCATGGAATATGCGAAGTCTCTCTATTTACATGGGGTAAAAACGATGTGCCACGGTGTGCCTGCAGTGCCGAAAGACAAACGGTGAGAAATTGTGGAGGAATATTCACTGAGATCTTACGCTGGCGAGATGGTCGTATTCCTGACTGCAACTGAAAATGCAATTGAGTACATCAATGGATTGGGTGTGCGTTTTTGACGGTTTTGTTTGTAATATATACATTCGTTTCTTGTACTTTTTATCTTTTGTATGTGTAATTATTTAGTAGGATTGTATTTACGTATACCATTACGTACCATTTTTATAAAATAAATAGTTACCAGTGAAAATTATTCCCTTATAAATAAGAGAAAAAATCGAATTAAAACTCGATTTGTGACCCAGACCTAAAGCTTGTTAATGTTTCTGTTATTTTAAGTAATAAATATTAAATACCATAAAATAAGCTCAGAAAAGTACAACAAATCCCAAAATTTCAAATCAAATTCAAATGTGTTAATAGAAACGTCAAACAGAACTGTCAAAAATGGGGGTTCATGATGTCGATGCCATATTTAATGAATGAATACATAAATAGCATTATACTCCTTTATTAGTTCACTTGTTGAATAATTTTTATGATCTAGTTGAAAAAGAATACAAATGTAATTTCTCATTTTAATATTATACTGTCACGGCAAAATCGGTGCCGGTGCCGGTGCTGAAATCGATTGTAATATAAATAAATTAGCTCCTTCACATATACCTCGATCCGGTCAAATAGTAGTGGCCCTGCAAATCCAATAGAATTAAATACAACTGTCGGAACGTGTGCAAAGCCGGCGCAGGCACCAGCTCAGATTTTACCGGTGTGTATACAAGCGCTCTAAAGCTTTCTTGATCATGAAAAATCTATAATTTTAATGACCCAATACATTGTATAATTTTTAAAGCTCAATTCATTAACAACTTTAGCCATTTAGTGTTATATTCGCTAATTTTGTCAATAAGGCGATATCATTTTTCTGCCATAGACAGTTTTCTACTGCAAATCCAAAAAAAATTGGCTGATTTAATGTAGAATATTTTTGGGTATAGCTTTTTCTGTTGAAGTTTGATTTTGTGTTGTTTCTTTTATAGATTCATCTTAAAAGGCAGTTTAGACCCGAATATTTTACATCGATTCGGCGGTTGTTCTTTTGAACTGGAAATTTGCTACTTACCCGATATGAGCCTACCAAATATTTTGCCCACAAACAATCTAACTCCTTCGAAATCCATTCTTAGAAACGGTATCCTTCAAAAAGATGAACCTACGCCAAACAAAGATACCGAAGCTCAAACTGCTTCTAGTAGTAGCGAATCTATCAAACCAAATGAGAATTCTTCAACTCTAAGATGCCAAAATATGGGAAATGCATCGTCGTCATACGTGGGGATTAGGAGAAAAAGACTAAAAGGTGACTCTTGGTGTTACAAGAAAGTTTGTGAGGAGGTGTTGGCTTTAACATCGGCTGGGTTCAATAACAGTGCGAAAGAAAAGTTAGAATCTGCAGTTTAAACAAATTTATTTTTGATACTAATATAAAGGGAAAACATTTCAAGTGGATTGAATTCACCGTAGTTCTGGGATGCTATCTTTCTTCATTGTACTGTGTGATTGCACGAAGACAGTGTCATGGTAGACGAAGAAATAATAACATTTTGTACCGATTTGTAGAATTTTTCAACTGTTATGTCCCCGGAAAACTTTTTTATTGTTAAATTTTTAATAATAAAAAGTTATTTTAATTCATAAAAGCTTTAGAAATAAAGAAATATTCTTCATAAAAGTTTTTGGTTGTTCTAAAATTGTTAATCCGATTTATACTTTTCTAAATTTTCGTACAGTTTTATAGAAAAATAAAAAAAGTATGAAAATACAGTTAAATTTTTTGAATTGTGTTTTTCGTTCTCTGATAGTTATAATTCATTTTGATTAACTTTTTTTCATCACCTTTTTTATCACCTTTACCGTAGCATTGAACTAAATAAATTTTGTGGTTTTTATAACATATTAAAACAGAAAAAAAACTCTGGCGTTTGGTTTGGTTTAATAATAAAAAAGTTTTTTCTCTTTTAAAGACAATCCGGGGACATAGTGTTAGAAAAATAAAATTTAATATACAGTATGTCTCTGGATTATTTTTACAAGAGGAAAAACTTTTTTATTATTGACATTTTGAGAAAAATGCATTCTTCATAAAAATTTTGCTGGTTGTAAAATGGTTAAGCCCGTTTATACTTTTCTAAATTTCCATACTGTTTTAGAGAGAAATTTAAAAAGTATGAAAATATAGTTGAATTTTTTTGATTTCTGTTTTTTTTTCATTTTGTTTACTCCAATATCTGTCTAGTATTTCTATTGCTTTTTGATATTTAACTGTACTCAAATCTTAGTATTAAGAATACTTTTTGCCTCTTTTTCACTTTTTTCAACTTCATCACTCAATCACTTTCTATTTTTTTTCTCTTCACCAATTTTATACTTTTATATTTAATATATGGTTTTTATGTCCAATATATCAATATATTTCAAATAATAATAAATTAGTGTAGATAATTATTTTAGGGTGCTTTTGGGATGATTCTATTTTTCTGATTCATTATACTCAATATACAGAGTGTTTAATGTAGAGTAATTATATTATTGATTCTTTTCAATTAATACACCGCACGATCGAAAAAAAGCGGCATCACAGTGGTCTTTTAAATAATATATTAAAAACAGTTAAAAGATTAAGTTAAAAGTAATTTTAAAGGCTACTGTCGCAGTTTTTTTCGATTATACGGTACTCTTTAGTGACTTTGATCTCTTTCTGTCTTTTTCTTATTTCATTTAGAGCAATTTATGTCTAGTATTTATATCGTTTATAGTGGTTTTGACATTTCGATTTACGCAGATTTAGTATATGAGTATCTTTTTGTATAAATTCTATTTTGGTGTGTTTTGCAAATTTTGTACTTTTATATTTTGATGGATTTGGTTTTGTAAAAAGGAAATTTTTGATATAGAAATAAAGTATATTGTTGAATTTGTTGTTTTATTTGATATAACTTCCTTTACAAAAAGACAAAACAATGAAAACAAAAGGTTTTATATTTTTAACGTTTAACCGCCAATCAATGTATAAAATATCATAAAAAATAACTCCTTTTATCAGGAGCATTTATTCATAAATTATTTAAAGGATAATAAAAATACCAAAATGCATTTAAATAAACATTATTAGATATAGTTGGGGCACAGGTTGGGGGTTGGAACCTTTAGTGTTACAACAGCAAAATAAAAAACTAAATCATCGCAATATACCAAAAAACTTTATTTTCGCATTGGACGCGTATTTTGCTAACCATATTAGCATCATCAGCAAGTGATTAAGACTCACAGTTTAATTAGTTTTAATCATCTGCTGATGATACTACTGCTACAGTCTGATTTCGATGTAGTTTACTATATAGATCCATTAGAAATAAGTTTCCACCTTCAAGCAATATCTTCCTAGTGTGCTTGGGGATCTTTAAAATCATTATTGCGGATTTCAAGTTATTATTTTTCTGTAAAACTTTAAAATAGAATTTCTCCTGCTTAAACATTGCCGAAGTTGTATCACACCCATTTATTGGATGAAGGATTAATGTAGTACCTATCAGAACACAGTTTTCATAGTTTTAACAAAAACAAAGAGCCAATATCACAACCTAAATACAAAATATTTTCATGGTGTCTGTCTGTCCGTCTGTAACACGATAACACAAAAACCGCGAAACCGTTTTTAACCAAATTTGGCACAAAAATACTGTGGCACCCGAGAATCTGGCCATTAGTTTTTGGTGGTGGTGGGAGGTTGGCAAGGGGGTATGGGAGGGGGTTAAAAATTTTAAAAAATCGTAACTCCGAAATTACAGTAGCTAGCGAAACGCGGTTTTCAATTTAAGATTAGGAATAATATTTGCAATAAAATTTGTAATAACATCAAAATCAGTCAAAGTTGCAGTATTTGAGATAAATTAACATATTTTAGTATGGGCGGCTATACGTGCCTCCCGGCGCCAATTTTTTTTATAATCAGGGGTAGTACGCCAATTTTTTTATAATCAGGGGTAGTATAATTGTTGAAGTCACAACTTAAAACTAAAAGAAAACATACTCGGCTTTAATAATAAATTACAAGTTTTTGAGTAAGTAAAACAATCTATAGAACAAATAAATCAATTAATTACTAAATTAAAAATAAAACGTAAAAATCTTTAAAAAATGATATAATAAATATATTGTTTCCCAACTTTACATTAAGATTCATCTCATAAATCCATCACGATATGGCAGCGCTGTTGTCATCGCTTGTCACTCAAAGTTGATCACGTGCATCGGAAATTGTTTTGCTATCGCCCGGTTGATCATTATTCGTTTGGAAACGAAGTGTGTGAATCTGTAATCAAAAGTTGTGCCATATTTTTGAAAAATTTGGTCTGAATCAGAATCTTCTCCATTCATATCTTCCAATTTCAAGTGTATCTTCTAACTTTTTTAACATTTTTGCTTAATATTATACCGCTACTCTAATCTAGAAGATTCGTTAAAGAGGTGGAGAAAATGGGGACAGATCTTCCAGCCCCCACCTCAGCTGGAGAGAAGCTCCTCGACAGTGACGGTGACGGAGGGCAAACCCCAACCGTGGAAGGGTATATACCCTCGTAGGAGGAACATCTGTTATCAGAGGAGGATGGGACCTTGTCCTCCCTATAACAGGAAAATCCCCATGTATGATGAGTTATAGACTGTGTGATGAGTTATAATTCAAGCAAGGGGGACACAATAGATCTTTAAGGTCGCAGTGATTAATCTCCCTCTCATTCATTGTACATTCTACAATCTAGAAGACCTACTCTTTTAGGTCCACTCTTCTAGTCTTGGGTTATTAGAGATTATACGACTCGGAAACTGCTCATAATAACCAGCTTGAGAAAAGTATCGAAAGCATGCATTTACTTCCGGTGTATTATCGCTAACGTGAGGTCTTGGAGACTTCAACCATATCTTTCTGTTATAGTACCATGTTGCACTTGGCAAGACGCAGTTGTCAACTGTCTAAAAAACGTTCGATTATTCGTTCGGATAGTGAATACCCTTAGTACCCTTAGATTATAATAAAAATGAATACCCATTTTTACAGGGGTACCCATCTTATAGCGTTTTTTAAAGCACTACCACTGCGAACGCCAGCTTTTCATCGGAGAGCAGTCGTGGATAAAGTATTTCACTGGAAAGAAAACTAATTAATAACAATAAACAAAAAATATAGATATTGGGCGCCAGGCATGTAGCATGTACAGAGAAAGAAAACACAGTTGTATATTACTTAAAACTAATGACTATATTTATTCATAATGTTCTTTGATGGTAAATAACATTGTAAAACTTTAATAATTATAATGGTTATATGTCGAAGAATGTAATGTTAAAAATAGTACTAAATATGTTTAATGAAAAAGACTATAGAAAAATACAATATAGATTAGGCCATAGAAAATGTATAAAAGGTAGCATTACTTTAATTAATTTGTTAAATTTTATACGATATTAAATCTGAGATGTTTTAAGCCGTAGATTCTAGAATCGGTTAGGTTATTCATTTGTCAAAATGACGCAAGAATATATACAGAAAGTAATACTACTACAAAACGTAATGTTCGCAAAGAAACTAAGATCTAAATCATATTTTAAATACCAATCGGACATAAGTAATTTAACCACTAGTACGATATTAATTATTCAAGACTGAAAATGTAGAAAATCTAAAACATAAAAACTAGAACTTAAATCTAAACTTTGCTGATTGTTCTTGAGGCAATCCTGCTTCAAACAGTAACAGCGTGAGGTGGGACTCTGTGATTCCCTCGATCTGTACTGTTCTCTCGGCTAATGCAACAAAGGGGCCAGGATGAGACACCATGAACCAATACAGCTGTAAATACCGACTAGGCTTAGAAATAGGAAAGAAGCAGCATGGGGCCTAAGCTACATCCACGCTGGGGCATTCTATACATGAGATAAACTATCTTGTACATGGGACACCTGTCCATAGGAACTCCGTACATAGGAACATTACCGTACCTTGGACATTCAACCATAAGATAATGTCCGTAACTTGGACATCCGTCCATAAGATAATGTACGTAACTTGGACATCCAACCATAGGACCCTAAAAATACGAAACTCTTGTTTAAAACGAAACAAGGTCTAATAAACAAAATAAAACCTACCTCGAAACACTTCCCGAGCCTAATAATAAACAAAGAACTGGGTCCTTTCTTCCATTTAAGATTCTGGAGGACAAATAAGCGCAAAAGTACACCAACGTGTCAGCAAAATACAAATACGAGTTAAGGTGGGCCAATCCAAAACTCTACCCTAAAAATACGCTTCGAACCTGTCGCTGTGTACCTGTAGCTTCGAAATGGCAGCTGATTCAAATTATACAGCAAGATTTAAATTACCATTTCTAAAAGTCGGGTTTGCGACCGTGCCGCAAACGCCACAAACCGGCCAAACCAAAAGTGAGATTAAGCGCGAGAAAGCGAAACCTGGAGCGATAAGCGACAGCGCCCGCAGAGCAGTGAAACCAGACAAACAGAAAAATTGAAAGACCGCCAGAAGACATACGATTTTGCGCAAATGTTCCTGTAGCGCATCGACGCAAGTGCCGAAATACGTCCATCTAGCTATCTGTGTTTCGACCAAATACGTTCAAATAAAATATACGGAGGGTACCGCTTAAATTCCTGTCCCGATGTTGAAGGATGGCTATAGAACGTCAATGCATTTCCTACATAAGTCTATCCTTGTTCGGGAGGAGGTTTTCTGCGCTTGCTCGATCTGTAAGCACTTTGATTGGACAGTTCCAAATCATATGATATATGATATGTTTTGTTTTGGTTTTATTTATTTTAAGTTGAGGTTAAAGACGTTCTCTAAAATCTTTCGAAAAATTGGAAGCTTTTTGTTAAATATTCTGAAATCAAATAAGTTTG